TCCTGCTCCAAATTGAAGTCGTTTTACCTTTCTTCTGATGCTTCTAAAAACTTACAAAGAATCTCTCCTTTCTGTAATATCAAAGGCAATAATTTGAATGATTCTATTGGTTGAGAAAAGGTAGGTTGTATAGACCTGTGTTCATCCCTGCAGATGCGAATTTATTTATATCGATGCAAACATCAACAGATATACCTGGAATTAGGAGTAGCCACAATTGCTGAGTATGTTTTTTGCACTGGGTCAGTGAAAGGATATATTGCGTCTACTGAACTTATTATTATATCAAATGGCAGGCGTTTTGATGAATAACATTAGCCCTTTAGTTGACTTCAGTCTTCACAGAAGGGAAAGAACATCAAAGGATAAAAAATACAAGAGGGGGGGGGGAATAGAAGAGTGCTTCAAAGACGAAGGTAGATAAGGTGGAAAAAGGTGGGATGAGTACTGTGAAAGTAGTCGAATATGAAATACAGTGGGGTCATGGTAGTTTGAAGTCAACTGCCAGGTAATAGACTTTTTTGCCGTATGAGTATACGTTGCCCGGGGTGCACCACGTGGAGGTTAGTCTATCACACACCCCGCGTCTACTGAACTAATTAAGCCGAAATGAACTGGGGCAAGAGATCACCATGTCAGGATTTTGCGTGTGTGAAAATACGCTGGACGTTCAATTGAAATAGACACAGTGGGGGATTTCTCCCTATCAACCGTGCACTCCCCATTCTCATGCTAATGCTTCTATAAGTTACAGTCATATTCCTTATGGTGGTCGGGAATTTTGGACCTAATGTCGATCTTCCAAGTCTAATCATAAAACCATTTGTGGAGACTTAAAAGGCCTTCAAAAAATAAACGTTCTCCTTAAGCTTTTTAGTCAATAACTATTCCCAGTTACTTTGCAAGTGGATGTTTCAATTATCTTCCAACCATTCCAGATTTCATTACCATTTCTATATCTTGGCCTTGATTCCAATGTTCAGGTTTGTCATTATTCTTAGCTTTTTTAAATTTTGCACGTTTTCAGTCCCCACTTCCGATCCCGGTTAAAGTCCCATTAAGGAATATTTCGACTTGATCTTACTCTCTGTTGCCTTAAATTTATTAGCATTTTTAATAATGCCTTAATATCTTTAATTTCTATTTTATCAAGACAGTGCATAAGATTGTATTTGCTAAATAAAATTTCATTTGAGACAATGCTTTTAATTCTCATTTAGGATCACTTTTCGATCGTTTGTTCATTTCTTGTTGTTTTTTTTTCAAGCTTAAGATCCAATCCAGGTGTCTAAGCTGCGTTGATAAAGTTTTGATAATAATTAAATTACTGCTTCGATTTATGTTCTCCATACTTAAAAATACAAAGAACGTCTCTCTCTCTCTGTGTGTTCACGAAAATTGCTCTTCTTGAAAATATGTTCACTTCCTCGTTTTAAATTTGATTTCTTACGCAGATGAATCTCGCTAATCGTCTTTGTATTATTAAGCATGTTTAACACACGCACAGATTCGCATTTGTTATATATCGCCTCTTAGACTTCCCTCTTACATCTCCCTTTTACTCTCTCCATTCCTCATCGTAGTTTATTCAATGACCTTCGACTCACACGACTCTCTGCGTTCGATCTTCACGAGTGGTTGTTTGTTGCTGACAGCTATACTTTTAAAGTACGCTGGCTGACTTTTGTTCATTAATGTCTACTGCTTGTTAAATCTACAAGTCTTTTTATGTCTTACCTTATGCTTATTAAGTACTAGTTTCTAAAATTTAATTACCAGGTTGCCAACTAATTAATTACAAGTCAAATCTAGAGGAGATTTAAGCAAAATATGCTGATCCAGCTGACCTCTGTGCCACTGAAAGTTTCCTAAAGTAGTTCATTATTTTTACTACATTGAAGGCCAGCCAATTGAGGCACACGCTTGCATCAAGTAAAAGGTTATCACAAACCCTACATTTTATGCGAATTATATTTAAAAATACTTAGCATATGCAAACACCGCGATGGCCATATGTCGATTTAAGAATGGCTTAACTAGAGCAATGCCAATACGAAACCGAGAATTTAAACTAAACTGTTGCTTTTCTTAGGTGTTCTGGTTCGATAATCACGGAGATAGTGATACGGTACAAATATTTACGCCAAAATGAGTGAAGAAAAATAGGAGTCAGTCTAGCTAAGAATGAATTGAAATTGTCCCAATTGACGGGGTAAAACTCAATTTGGCGGAAGAGGGTAGTTAAGTGCTTCTAGTAGAGGCCATATATATAGGATAGAATGATAGAGATAAAATCGTGATTAAATCCGCGCCAATCCATTTAATGGCAACTTACAATTCCAATGTTTAAAGGTGGCTCTTTTGGAAATATCTCTGCTCGATAACCAACAGAGTAGATATTCTAACACTCTGAATTGGGAGGAAAGCAAGATGAGGAAGTCTATGAAATAAATCTTGCTAGCCATTATATTGGGAAAGGAAATAAAGCAACTGTCATTTTGGCTATTCAAATTGCGAGAATATAAAGTTCAGTGTAGGGGATTAAGATGACAGAACAAAGTAGACCCAGGAATCTTGGCTGATCATTATTTTCACAGTTGTGGTGGTGCAATCGCTTGCCAAAATATTTTTGCTTAACCAACTTTCAATAATATGCCATGGAATAATTTTATTCTGAGAGACGAACTAATGCCAATCAAGCCACAGTTGGAGGTTGCATGCGTCAACGAACCACTTTAGGCGAGGGAGAAAGGTGACTCAGACATGGATCATTCATAGAATGCTTGTTATGAACTGTGGGATGTTCAATATGCTTTTATTAAGAAAATTAAAATTTTATAATGATTGAAGTTACATGGGACCTGCTTTATCTTGGCCAATCGGAAGAATGCGATGATAGCAAAAAGTAATATGGTATTAATGTGTAGAATGGGACTCATATCATAGCATTGCGATAATATCTATTATAAATCGTTAAATTATGAGTTCAAAATTGGGTTAAATTTGCTAATTCCTCTTAAGATGAAAAAGCAGTAACGTAATTAGCGTACAAAGGGACTAAGCGGTCCTAAGGGGATTTTGAATACCTCGAAGGTTTAAATATTGATGGACAAAATTAAATTGATTAACACAAGGACTTACAGGTTTTAAATATTTTTTAACAGCTTGCTGAAGAAATAAAATTTTATATAAATGTTAAAAAAATTAAACTATTATGACTGTTAGTTAATGGATGGCTGTTCCCAATCACACATCGGATTAGAAGACCCCATAAATTTGAGGTCAGCAAAAAATATTTCTAATTTCGGTGGGATGCCTTTCATTTCCTATTAAATAGTTTGGGCTTTCGTTTAATTAAATTAAGTTTAGAATGCGAAAACTGGAAAAAATAGTTTGAGAATTCTTGTTTCCCTTTTATGTAAACGAGAGAAGGATTTCACGTCCAAAAAGATGAAGATTTTGCCTCCAATTAGAAATAAAGACTTCAAATTCAGTGTAGTTAGATATTGTGAATTTCTAAGAAGTGGGTAATAATAATTATTAAATTTTGGCATATTTTAGTAAAACTTTCTTTCTCAGTGGTTTCGAAATTGCCAAACATAAGCATAGCAGTGATTGAATGAACTTTCTAAACCACTGTCCTATACGAAATTACTATTATATGCTTCTATTCTATCTATTGGATTGAATTTGAATAAGAATTAGGGAGATGAAAGACTATCCAAGTTCTATGAAAGTATGAGTTGCTCTGCAACGTTACAACTTTCCATAGATCTTTCCCTACTAATTAAATAATATTAATTAAACTCGGAGCTCATATAACGCAAGTTTGAAGTAATCAAATAGTCATGCCATCTCAACTATTCACTTATTATTAAAGTTTATAGCAAATGAAAAAGACTAGAATGCGCCTAGCAGATATCGAATTAAAAAACCGTATAACTTTGGAGAGTCATGAAGGTCAGGTGCCCTCGACCTTTTCCACATAATGTACTAATATTTAAAATTATCGATTTGAATCGCTTCCTCTTTACTAAAACTTAGTGCTTTAAGTAGGAAGCTTGTTGGTTGGTTGACTTAAGTTCGTAGACGGTTCATGCCAAATCCTCTTTTACTACTAGAAACAGGTTGATGCGATTGGCAGATGCGTTTTAAGTGTTTATTCAAAGCGAACTCAAGTAAAATTAAATAGTTGAGGCTAATCATACAAAAATCACTTTAAAATCAATGAGCTTTAAAAGCTCACAATGATATATCAGTAAATTTAGCGTCCTTTTCAAAATGAAGATAATGATTGCTAAAAGTTTCAGCATCGTCTTGTTATTGCTAATCACACCTCCTCGGAATGTCGAGAAATCAAATAAATGATCTGAATAATAAATAATTTATTTTAATGATTATAGCAAGTCCAAACTTTGGCAATTTCAATGAATAATTACCATGAAATGCGAGAGAGCTTGAAAATACAAGAAGCGCCAAACGTGTTCCAAATAAACTTCTAAGCGAAATTATGAGGATTTACGACACAACCAAAAAATGAATTATCCACACGCGCGTTATTGAATTTAATTCAAAAAATATTAAATGATCACATGTTTTGCTTGATAAAAATTAAAATATAATAAGTATATTAAAAGAAAAATTAAATAGAATTTTCGGAAAATTAGCTTTCTCAACTTTTGAACTTTTAAGGGAAACGCGTCAGTCAAAACAATATTCCCTAAATATAAGAATTTATATTACTATAATTGAAATCTTGACAAAACAGATAAATATGAAATGTCTTAAGTTATGCATTATTCAAATGCAGTATTTGTTTTTATTTCGATTGGAGATGTACTGGAAAATAACATCAAAATAAGTTAATTTCTCCCCAATTACTATTGGTGGAAATTTTACCCAATCACGTCACACTGTTAGAATAATAACATGTAGGGTTTATGGAATTATGTCCATACTCCATTTAGTGCAACAGAATGACGGAACATTTAGAAAGCAATATGACATCATTACCAAACTGCTCCCTAATATGGGATAGTTTTGTTATTGTCAAATATACAGGACTGTGTGATTTAGTCCAAATGGAGGAAACTAGTCAAACCAGTTATGTCAGTCTTTACGTGTCTATTGCCCTCTCAGTTCTGGGGGCATTTTTCAATCTCTGGGCTCTAATGCTTCTCCTTTTGGATTATCGCAGTTCTCCGGTTAAAAAGAATCATTCAAACTCACAGCGTAAAACATGCAACCTTGGTGTTTCCAAAAGTTCACACAGTGGTTCCCGGCGTACAACAATGCAAGTTGGTCTTATAATCTTCTGTCTTTTTGAAGTTCTTTATCACTCTGCATATAGCAGTGGTGAATCTCTAAGTCTTTACGTCAATATTCAAATTAACAATAAAAATCTTCCCAAACCAGCAGCAAATGGAAGTCTTACGTATATTTTCTCAGTACTTCCCATATTACAAAGTTTAGCGAATTGGATTCGTGATACAGGAATATGTGGAAGAAACTGGGCGATTACTCTGATAACAATTGCCCGGGCACAGGCTGTTATTTGGCCACTGGGTTCCAGATGTTATCAACGATTTTTGAGAGAAAAAAGATATTTTCTACTTGTATTTGGGCTTTTTGCATTTACCGGTCTTATTATATCAGGATTACGGCGATGTGATCAAAAACTCGATGTCTGCTATTCCAAAAAGCTGGAATCTTATTGTACATCATTTGAAGTACTACTTATTTCCGATTTAAAGCAATTCTCTGCCATTTACTTTTCCTTTCAAACTCTTCTTCCGTGGTTGCTTATTCTTATCTTTACAATGCTTATCATCTTTCAACTGAAACCATGCAAAAAGCAGGCGGAAAATTCTATCCTGCGTCCGAAGAACAAAACCGGTGGAAGGGACAATAATCTTCGGGCTTCAATTGCAGTTACGGTTATAGCGGTGTTTTGTACAATATTTGAGTTTCCGACGTTTGCTGTATGCATGTATTATATTGCTGGAAATCCACATGTTAGTCTTGATATATGGGATACCCTAGCAAACACTCTTCTGCAAATTGATTCGATAGCGAATTTCTTCCTTCTGATTATTACCATGCCTTCATTACGTTCGCGCTTGCGAAGTACCTTTCCAACTAAGAGACCACCAGAAGAACATAGCATTCAAGAGCCCCGGACGGTAATTGTTGATGAAGAATTGGAGTCAAAGGAGAGATGTTGATGTCCATCACTTCCCGATTGGTTTGTAAATAACGACAACGTCTTTTGCAATCGTAATGTTGTGATACGAAGATTCTGATTCATGGTTGCTGTTGTGTATTGTGTGTATGAAATAACTTAGTGAGTTATCCCAACCTCCTTCCAAACCCCTTTTGCAAACTTACTTCGCGATAAACAGTACACAAGCATTATAGATTACTTTATTTAATGTTATGATCTGCAAGGCATAGTGTACTATATTAGTATATATTGTTTTGCACGAAAAATACTTTCCAATCATTATTAATTGATCAATTTTATTTAACAAGAGATGATACATATGTTTTTATAATATAACGCATAATTTATCACTTAGAAGAGACCCTGTCGGAGCCATGTAATTGTCCACTGAGTACTTGAATAAACAAAATGTTACTACATCACGTTTAAGAAAATTTTCGGATAGTTAAACTTGTTTCTATCAATTTGGAAGTCGAAAATATTTAAACATGTGTCACGTCAATTTAAGTTGTATTTCAACTTTCCAATTCACTGCATTGACGAAAATATCTCGATATATACAATCAAAGAAAATGGAAAATCATGATATCAATTTTTTCTTTTCTTATTTCAATTATATAAAGTTTAAAATATACTCCTTTTAATCAATTTGATTTAAAAATACCTTTAAGAGATAAAAAATTTTTGACAAAGTTGTTGACGTAATAAACCAAAGACTGACTCAATTTACTGGAAATATATTTTAATATCAGTACGCTAATTGAAAAATGACAGAATGTTCTATTAACATAGAAGAAAAATTTTAATAATCTTAAGTGAAAATCATATTTCATTACAAACAATTTTACTCATATATTTGCAAATTTTACAAGAAATATTGACTTTAATTTTTGTGAAAAAAAGCACTTTTAATTAACTAGGAATAAATCAATAAATGGAAATGAACATGATTAAGAAGAATTCAATTTTGCTTCAATCTAATGGAGATCACAAAGATTTTATGTCTAATAAATTAATCTTTGTGCCTCCCGAAATAAATTTTGTTTCTAGGAGAGTTTATTTGTTATTATTGAAATAGAAAACAGTAATGAGGAACATTTTCGATTTTATAACAACCACCTAAAATGTAAGAGTTCACTTGATTGATGACTATTTGTGCTTTTCCAGTGCTATGGCTAAATAAACGTTTTAATTAACCTTGGTCATCACAAAAGTTTCTCCCTTCTCTAAACATCACGTTAAATTGGCCTAAACAGCTCATTTTTAGCGAGATAATGGAGTGGCGTGGTGAGTCAGTGTGAAAGTATGGTATATCACGACTTATTGGCGCACATTGAGGGACATGAATGATCGACCGCGCTCATTAACAGGAGTGACATCTGTACCAAATTTCAACTTCATTTATAAAATGAATAAGGAGGAAAAATGCCTCATATTTTTCCTCATTTTGCCTCTAGAAAATGATTTAAACAATAGCAAAAGAAAAGGTAAATTATTTTTGTTTATCCATTTATTTTTGTAAAAAAGTTTCAAAAACGTTATATCCTCGCTCATTCAAAACTATATTACTAACTAATTTATATCGTCATAGGAAGCTTGAAAGTTGAATACCATTTGAATTTGAATTCCTTAAAAAAATTGTAAATTTAAACCTTTAGGCATTTTAAAAATCTTTTTTAGTACAATTTCAAGCTATTTTCAACTTGCTTAATGCGTGTGATTTCTAAAGCAAATATGAAAAATTGCTGTGCACTGTTTAGATTGTAAAGTATAATATTTTAAACAAAAATTGAAGATTTATTTGACTTTGCTTAAAAAAAATCGGACTTTAAAAAGCAGGAAAAAATTATCAATCGCTGTCCTTGTTCATCAGACCTAGCTTGTGAATGGACAATTGAAAATTTTATTGAAAATAAGTCACCTGCGTTGTCAAACTTAAGTCTTTAATCGGCGAATAAGCTTTCTGAGTTCAATAAATCGATTTCAGTGTCTTTAGTATCTTGTCCTATATCGTCAAGACGAAACGCACATAAATGTGGCATAATTGTAAAAAATGGGATTTTGGGAATAAAGGGTAAAATGTGACATTTTATATTTCAACATCGTCATTAAAAACAGGCTTTTTCATTATTCGAAAAATAATAAATAAGGAAAAAAATACTGGAGGAAATAATAAATTGTTTGCAAAATACTAACTTACTTACTACTTCTTTAATGTTTCCAAATAATTGGAATGCGATTTAAAATAACAAATGAGAATAAATTTGTGATCTCATAAACCATGGTCTACTTCAGTGTTTACCTGTTAACCTCAAATATTTCTCCCAAATAGGTTGAACAAAAATTATAAATAAATTGGGAACAGCATTACCTTATCCGTAAATGCTTCATGGTAAACTGAAATTAACTAAATACTTTTAACCAATCAACATTAATATATTTCTAAATCTTGCCCAAAGCAATATTAGATTAACTTTAATTTAACTTTAATTATCATGTTACCCTGATGCAGATTGGGTTGCCTTGATAAAAAAATTTATAGCAAATGGCAAGCTTTATGATATTTATCAATAGCCTCTTAGTTGACTTCCGATTTTACAGAGAGGAGGGGCGGACAAAGTCCGAAAAAGTCGAGAGGGGGGGGGACAGAAGAGTGATTCACAGATGTAACAGAGACAGACACAAAGGTGGTAGAATATGATATACGATGAGGTCATGTTAGTTTGAAGTCGGTACCAAACTGCTGGTTCACAGACTAATTTTCCGTATGTATATATGTTGCCAAGGGTGCACCACGTGGGGATAAGTCTATCTCGCTCCTATTATAAGAATATTAAATTATTTTTTAAGGCATTTTGCTGCTCTTCGAAATATGCATTCTTAATAATAATAGCTTGCATACAAAAAAGTAAAGCAAACGATTTATTAAAATACATACTTATCCCGATCATTTTAACGGTGCAACACTCAAAATAAATTTTAATCAGAGTCATTAACGCCAACTTTGTTTCCTTTTATCTCATGTAAAATGAGGTAGAGCATAGACCCACCTGAATTGAGGAAATGGGATCTTATGCACCAAAGGTATACTTCTGCGGCCATAAGCACGCCTAATAAGAAATTTAGGATTTGATTGATGCCTTCATCTATTTGCTTATTCATCAACGAGCACAGAGCAAGAAAACTGTCAGCCAAAAATGTGCGAATATCAGGTTACATCTAATGCATAGAGAGGTAAGATAAATCGCATAAACTCGAAAATTGATAATCAATAAATTCTATTGAATAATAAGCTCTAATTACTTGCGACTTACGAGGAAGAGAATATTAGTTCAGCAACAGCTGTGTCTGCTGTGGGGGAATGAGAGGAGAGTGGGGGGGGGGGGGTGGAAGATTCGAGAAATCCTAATTGTGTGAAATATATGTATTAATAGGCAGACGCAGGAGAACGAAAGCCAAAGATCCGCTGTATGACGGAGAAAACTGACGAAACTATTGTCAGTTTAAACAATTTGCTTCAACCATAAAAAGTTAGCTAAAGAGGATAATAAATTGAAGGAAGCGAATTTTTGGGGAAAGTGGATTTCTAAATGTTTGAATTAATCGGCGGAAAAAATATTCGACAAATCGCATAAAAGCGAAAGGATGATTCACACATTAAATATGTGAGGATGCTTGTTTATTGGAAAAAAATCACTCGTCAATTCAGTATGTGAAAAAATAATTTAGAAATGAATGAAAATTACCTGATAGAGATGCTACTTTAGAGAAGGTGAAAATTGTTGACAGATTAAATGCAGTATAGTATAATGCCAAGAAAAATCAGCTTAAAGGTTAGAGAAGGGGTGCTTCAATAAATTTTGCTTTTTACTAAAATTTATGCCAAAATCCTCCAATATGGTAAGGTTTTTTTAAGTTAGCTAAGCTAAGGAAGCGGAGATATGATGTGGAATGCGCTCATTGGTGTTTGTGTATTCTGTGGTACTTATCCTCAATATGGGAAACTGGCACAGAGCTTAGTCATCAAATACCGCTTTTAATGCACTGACCCTGTAATGATTATTGAATTATGGTAAGGGAGTGACCTCATGGGCATTCTAGAGCGATCAGCACCACGTTAGAAAGTTTCTAAATGTTTGGGCAGGTATGAGATTGCATAGTTCAATCATGCTAAGGTTATGCAAACCACAAAACAAGGCTTTTTATATTTAAGGTTTAACGCTGGCAAAACTTAATAATCTTTCCCAAAATTCAAAATTGGAAAATTTAAACCTGGGACAAAAGGGAAAGGCAAAAGAGTTTGATTAGCAATGAAAATATACTTTTTTTAATTTTTTGCTTAGACACAAAACATATATGACAGTAGGCTGGAAGTAAAAATAAACAACAAAATTTCAAAATAATTGCACCAAGTGAATTAATAGTTACAGAAAAAAATTTGTTACAGATGCAACAAATATGTAGGCTGAAGAGATGGTATAAACCGACCCAAAAATTGTTGAGGTAAATAAATTAAAACAAATTTGGAGAGTACCAATTTGCGCACATTTTAGACGAATTGGTAGATAGAAATCTCAAATGCACACATTTGCACAATTGAAATTAGTCTGAAATTAATCCCAATTTGAAAATGTTTCGTGCAACGGGACTCTAAAGGATAATTTGGTTGAATATTCTCGGTTTGTAAGTGTTATTTTAATTAAAATGATCTTAAAATCTTGAAATTATTACTATCCTCCTGAGGTAGATATGTTTTGTTTTTTAACAGAAGACATCAGCTTTATTTGTCATTTAGTTTCTTTAACAGCAGACAAAATAAAATAAATTTAAATTTTCGGTATAGAAAGTGACTGAGGGTCGGTAGAAATATCATACTTATACCTTCCTTCGAATCTCACAATACAACGAAACGTTATGTAGCATAAACCGTTTCAATATTTCTTACCCATTTTGAGTAATAGTGTATTGTATTTAGTTCTTTTAATGGATAAAACTCGTGAT